AAATTCAATGTAACGGTTGATACGACTCGTGGATTTGATCATGGAGTTTGGATACCTCTCAAAATAGCAATTCCTGAACCAGGAGATTTACCTATAGTACAAGTATCTCTTACACGTCACGCATCATACGAATATCATATTAAAGTCGGACGTGCTTTAGCATCATTAAGGTATTAAAAAGTTTCAACATTTAAAAGCCATAAAGTTATTATAACAAATAATACAGATAGTGACTAAATATATAATTACATACGGTAAAAATAGAGACGAAGGAGTTGTTATTATTGGTTCTGGTATGATGGTCCATAACTTAAGAGATTCGTTCGGAAATTTTGATCGTTCAACAAATTCCATTACGGGAGAAGCACGCTCGTATACTACACGCTTTGTAAAAGATATGGATAAAATCTTGTTAGAAAGTAATGGCGAAGAAAGAGAAAAACAATTAATTAAGTTGATTGACCACCCAGTTCTGAGACAAGCGCATCCAACTGATGATCATTTGGTTCCCATTCATGTCGCAACCGGTGCTGCGGGGCAAGATCCGGCTGAAAAAATTTTCGATCTTTGTGCGGCTGGGATGAGTTCAGGTTCAGTGGCATTCTGTGCTCGTGGATAAAAGATGCCTATATCAGGACAAAAGACGTCTATATCATCGCGGACATTTTTTCTGAGCATTCTATCTTTTATTATTATTTCGATCCAAACAAAATCATTAATTAAATTATTTATAGTTTCGTATTTGTATACTTAATCTATTTAATATTTTGATATATCCCTTTTCCAGGCAAATTTGCCTGAAAAATTTCATGACATGATTGCTTTGTGATCAATTTATCAAATTATTATAGTAGATATGTAATTAAATTGACGGGTAATTAAATTGACAGTAATCTTTCTATATATATGTCTAATAAAGAAATCTTATGAGAACGACTGGAAATCAGTAATTCTTTTTTTTGTATTTGCTTTAACAAAAATTTGAATCACTATTTTCATCAATATGATTATAGCATACTTTAACGCACTAATATATCTTATATACACCTGACCATTATCAATAATAATTACACGTGAAAACAAGCACTACGTATTTGTCACAGCTAAATTGTATATGTTGCTTTGTTTTTTTTTTCGTCGTGATAAAATTATCAAAGCGCCGACTAACTTAGAATTA